AAAAAAAAAAAAAAAGATTGGTGGTGCCTTTGGCTCAAAGGAGTAGGGCACTGGCCCCATATACCAGAGGTAGGAAGTTCAAACCCAGCCCCGGCCAAAAACTGCAAAAAAAAAATAGGCAAATATTAGTCCATGTGCTATTAGGCAAGTCTCAGAAACTTTCAAATCATTTATATACAGCACCAGATTCTCTGACTACAGTGCAATTAGCTTAGAGATCAATAGCAAAAGTGATAGATTTTAGAGGTACCTATACATTTTGAAATATAAAAACTGAGTAACTCTGCTGGAGAGATACCACAGTAGAAATAATAAATTGAGTAACTCAGAGGTCAAAAATAAAATAATGGAAATTATAAATTCTTAGAATTTGGAAAAATAATGGTTATGAAAACAAAAATGTGTGAAGAGGCTGGACACATCTGGCTGGTACCTGTAATCCTAGCACTCTAGGAGGCCAAGAAGGGTGGATCTCCTGAGTTTAGGAGTTGGAGACAAGGTCAGAGCAAAATCGAGACCCTGTCACTATTAAAAATAGAGTAGCCAGGCATTATGGTGGATTGCCTGAGCTCAGGAATTTGAGACCAGCCTAAGAAAGAGCAAGACCCTATCTCTACTAAAAATGGAAAAGTTAGTGGGCATTGTGGCAGGTACCTATAGTCCCAGCTATTTGGGAGGCTGAGGCAAGAGGATCATTTAAACCCAAGAGTTTGAGGTTGCTATGACACCACAGCATTGTTACCAGGGTGACTTGAGTGAGACACTGGGAGCAGAGGTAGGAAGTGGGTGAAAGCCAAAACAGGCTTGGTGCCCATAGCACAGTGGTAATGACATTGGCCACATACACCGAGGCTGGCAGATTTGAACCTGGCGTGCGCCTGCCAAACGACAACTACAACAAAGAAATAGCTAGGTGTTGTGGCAGGCACCTGTAGTCCCAGGTACTTGGGAGGCTGAGGCAAGAGAATTGCTTAAGCCCAAGAGTTTGGGTTTGCGGTGAGCTGCTGTTGTCGTTGTTTGGCAGACCCGGGCCAGGTTCGAACCCACCTGCCCCAGTGTATGTGGCCAGCACCCTAGCCACTGAGCTACAGGCGCCGAGCACAAATTTATGAACATTTTTGGAGGCAGTGCCTGTGGCTCAGTGAGTAGGGCACCAGCCCCATATACTAAGGGTGGTGGGTTAAAACCTGGCCCCTGCCAAACTGCAACAAAAAAATAGCTGCGCCTTGTGGTGGACGCCTGTAGTCCCAGCTACTTGGGAGGCTGAGGCAAGAGAATCACCTAGGCCCAGGAGTTGGAGGTTGCTGTGAGCTGTGATGCCACAGCACTCTACCGAGGGCAATAAAATAAGACTCTCTCTTTAAAAAGATGTTCATTTTTGTTTTGTTTTGTTTTTGTTGAAATAGAGTCTCACTCTGTTCCTCAGGCTAGAGTGCCAAGGCCTCAGTCTAGCTGACAGCAGCCTCAAACTCCTAGATTCAAGTGATGCTCCTGCCTCAGCCATCCTCTGGGTCTACAGGCACTCGCCACAATACCTGGCTAGTTCTCTATTTTTAGTAAAGACAGGGTCTTGCTTGGGCTGATCCTGAAATGCTCATCTCAGATGATCCACCCACCTTTGCCTTCCAGAATGCTTAGTAAGATTACAGGTGTGAGCCACCTCACCCCACCCCAAAAGCCTACTTTTAACTGGGGGTATTTAGAGCATTTATATTTAATGTGATTATTGGAGCTGTTAGGTTTATCAACTTGGTATTGTTTCCTATTTGTTCCTTTTTTTTTTTTTTTTTTTTTTTTTTTGAGACAGAGTCTCACCTTGTTGCCCTTGGGTTGAGTGCCCTGAAGTCACAGCTCACAGCAACCTCAAAGTCTTGGGCTTAAGCCATTCTCTTGCCTCAGCCTCCCAAGTAGCTGGGACTACAGGCACCTGCCACAACACCCGGCTAGTTTTTGGTTGTAGTTTTCATTGTTGTCTGACAGGCTTGGGCTGGG